GGGGACCTTGGGCAAGTCACTTGCTCTATTGAGAGCTTCAGTTTCCTCTTTTGTAAATGGGGATTATACTCACTTTATAGTGAGATTAGTTTATAGTTTTGAAGATTAAATGAGATCATAATTTTAATTACAAGTATCACCACCACCACAATAACAATGCACGGAAAATTACCAAATGACTTGAATTGTTTGCAAAATTTCCTTAATAATAATAAAATAATGATGTTGGTATTACCAAAGTCAGATTTTATTAGGTTAGTTGACAATTTATTGGGATTAGTAAAGTCACTAGAAGAGTGTGTATTCCGTAAGGCTAACACACTGCTTACGAAATCACTCTCTGGTTGTTCTGGTTCTCTATAATTACATACTCCTCCAATAGTAGTTCAGAAAATGTTTCATAAATTACTTAGTTTTTTAGATGAAATGGAATTATCCAAATATATAATCAACTACACACCAGGATTTTTATTTCCAGTTTCTAAGAGGGTCCTGTTTCTAAGCACACAGTAATGCAATACAAGTAATGCCACAGAGATTTCCCAGAGGCAATAAATGAAATTCTAAAATTTTATTATAATATATTGGAGACCTTATCCTTGATTCTTTCCAAAACCTAACACCAACCTAACTCACTCACTCATTAAATATCTCAATACTTACCATGCACAAAGTCCTACGCTAGATACTTTGGGTATATAATCTGCACTCAAGAGATAAAGACTCATATTAAAAATAAAAGGACAAAGAATTATCTAAATATGCCTGTGCTTTTGGTATGACAAATAATCAGCCAACAGTACATGACCATGGAGCTTCCCTTTTTTTGGATGGACACTAATAGACCTGTCACTTTCTCATCCCTCAACCATGTAAAACATAAAGCAAGGAATGAGATGCCATTGCCCTATGACTTACTCCCAAAAGCTCTCTCTCACTGGCTTAGCTAACCTAAGTTTTCCTCCTTTGTTTTCTTCTCATACATCAGGATTTTCACAAAATTTTATGATGATTCTTTTAATAAGTAAATGATCTGGAAAAAATATTTTGTTTCAATTTTTATTTTAATGAAGGAGTCAACACTGCTGTATAAAGAATTGCACCTGGAGATCATTTGCACAAATATACAAAACTTCAAAAAACTAAAACTCCCATTTATTTCATAGTGTTAAAAAGGTCGAGAACACATAAAAATATCTGAAGTCATAGTTTATTCTTTAGGAATGTAAACTTTGGGAATACAATTAGAAACAGGAATACTTACTATGAAAAAAATTAGTATCATTACATGATTAGCAGTAACTAGAACAGGTACACAATAAACTCCACTTAAGAGAAAGCAATAATATGTGGAATAGAATCTTGAGTTTACTAATAGAAACTTTATAACAAGACACAGGTAGGTAACTCTAGTCCTCTACTATAAAAAAAACAACACCACCAAAACATCTTCCAGAAGTTCACTGCTAGTCTCTCTAGATATGCGCAAGTTACAAGGTATAGAAGACAACATATTTATGTTCTCTAATGAAGAATCTAACAATATTAAACATAAATGTGAATAACTCAATGTATTGAGTATAATTTTACTAAGCAACAAATCTAAAAGTATAAATTCATGCTAATTAAAGAACTAGAGGGTTTTTATTTTTCATCCAAAGATTGGGAAAACACTATTATACATTAATTTCTATGCTTAGTTTAAGTGCCCATCAAATTATTCCTTCTTTTTAAATGGTTTTTAAAAAAATATCTTTTCAATTATATTATTTAACATATATATTTGCTTGAAGTGCTTTCCTTTAATAAAGTATAGATTTACTGTGCCTATAGACTCAAATCTTAACAGCCTATTTTAAATATTTATTTTAAATTGTCTCAGAGTACATTTTTTTCTTTATAATTTAACACTTTAATTTTATTCTTCCCAAACAAGCAAAATCCTTTAAAACTGGGATTCTTTTTATCTATTTTGGTTTAAAAAATATATTTCCCTTTAATTCAACTTTTTGTTTTTTTAATGAGTAATGTTTGCAAAGCAGTTATATTATAATTGAAAAGGACAATAAAATATTGCTTTTTCAAAATGAACTTTCGTCATCTTTTCAGGACTGAAGAAATTCTACTCTCCAAGTCTACAGAAGGTCTTTAAAAAGTTCAGTGGTGCTGTACAAGGGATTCTAGGTGCTCTCTCTGTTGCTCTGGGTCCTCTAGGAAAAGTCCACTTTGTTTCCTTTGAAAAGTCTTCATTTCTCTCCCCACTTGGATTCCAAAAGGCAAATGCTGGGAACCAGTTTCACTAGAAGACCACAGGTATTTGGGTATTTGAAGAATGAGAGGTTTAAAATGTGGAATGGAGCCCGGCTGGTATGGCTCAGTGAATTGAGCATTATCCCATGGACTCAGAGGTGCCCGGGTTTCAGGCTCAATCCCTGGTAGGGGGCATGCAGGAGCAGCCGACTGATGTTTTTCTCTCATTTCAATGTTTCTACCTATCTCTCCCTTCCTCTCTCTAAAAAAAATCAATAAAAACATATTAAAAAAAAATAAAATGTGGAATGGAGCTACAATGTCAGATCATCTAAGCACTGGGGTGCAAGGCCCCAATATTGTGCATAATCCTTCTCACGATAACAAAAAGTATTATTCTGGACATGTAGGAAGTCTGTGACCAAATGCTCACATCAGCATCTTAATGAAAAAATGACCTACAAAAGCCACCCCAACTTTCAAATTTGGAAAGGTGAGTGAGAAGAGGATAGAGATAATTACAATTGTTATTATAGTTAGCATTAGCCAGTATTTATAATACCTATAAAAATTTTCAAGTGTATAATCTTTTTTGAAATAGTATGAAAGGTACAACTATAAAAAAATTTTACTGTTAATATATAATCCCATACTCCAGAAAATTAACTGGTGGAAATTACTTGCAGCAAAAATTCAGAGTAACTCCACTGCGTAAGCCTTCAGAGTTTTTAAAAGAATATACATGTGCAGCCTGGCCGGTGTGGCTCAGTGATTGAGCATTGACTCATGCACCAAGAGGATACAGTTCGATTCCCACTCAAGGCACATGACCAGGTAGAGGGCCAAATCCCCTTTGTAGGGTATGCAGGAGGCGGCCAATCAGTGTTCTCTCTCATCAATGTTTCTATCTCTCTCTCCCTTTCCCTTCCTCTCTCTCTAAAAAATCAATAAAGAAAAAAATTTAAAGAATATACATGTGCAGATTTGTTGTGCATTGTATAAAGGTGTGGTATTCCTTTGATACTTAAAATTATAGCTATGTACAGCTCTGATTCCACTTATGGTTAACAAGAAAAATATAAAATGTTATATTTTTATCATAAAATAAATGAGAATCATTAAAAATTTAGAATTGGAGGACTTAAAAAGTCAAGTGTCATTGACACTATTAAAAAATTAATTTTCCATTAAAACAATAAAGATTATAATGAACTAGTCCCTAACATATTTGATCTAGTGTTGTGAGGCCACTGAGAATTCTAAATATTAGATAAGTGATTTGTTTGCACTTTGATATTCTCTTCTCAAAATTTACTGTACATAAAAATCACTTCAGGATCTTGCTAAAATGCAAATTATGATTCAGTATATCTGGGATGACTGTGAAATTTTGCATTTTTAACAAGATGCCAGGTGATGTCAATGATCTAGAATAATACCCAATTAGTTTCCATGATAGCAGTTGAACATTAAAATCTCCTCTCTCATTTGTGCCAGTTAATGTCTCCACAAACTTATTCTACAATATTTTCTAAGCACTTTAACTTGCTTAAAATGTTGATATTTTAAATTAGTTCTTAAAACTATTAACACTGTTAGTAGCTCTGCCTAGGGGAAATTCTTTGTCAAATTATCACAAAAAGACAACCGAAAATTCACAGACATTTTAAAGTATACACAGGATTCCTATTAAATTAATACTATATTGACTCTCACTACCTGGTTGCCTTACTTTTTTTCTTTTTTTAACTTACAATTTATGCCAATAGATCTTATTCCATGACTATTACTGGACTATAACAATCAAATTTACTTATGTTAAAAAATATATATTGTATTCAGGGTTAATGAGTGAAAATGAGTTCATGCCTTTTGAATAGTCAGATTTAAAATGAGAGCCAAGGCAGTTACGGTCAGAACTGCATTTATATTGTAAATGTGTTAGCACTCAACACACATTTTTCATATATCTGAGCTCTGCATCAGCAGGGTATAAGAAGAAACCAAGCATTTTCTCTGTGTGATCACAGCTAGGGACCGTGAATAAGGAACCACTGTATACTAACAGTGAAAGAGACCAGGTGGACAGCTCCCTAGGTCCTCTTTCCCAGTCAGCTTACCCTCATCCTCAGTCTTGCTCTCTCTCTCTTACTGTGAGTTATTACTTAAATATTCTTGATTTACAGGCAACCTCAATAGCTGGAATGACCATCACTAGCAAATACCAAACTTAGTTCTCTATGGCCACATACAAGTTTGCTTAGCTTCTGTCATATTGCCTTTTATATTTTAATTTTTTTGTGTGAGGTAACTACATTGATTATTCTTTCTATCATAAAAAAACACTGAAAATAGGCCTGTTCACAAAATAAAAAACACATTTTTTTCATATTTAATAATTTTAAATTTAAGAACACAAACATAAATGACCCTCTGTGAGTTAATATGTAAATGTCCTTTGTCCATATTTCACTATCTTTATTTTTTCATGACTTTTTTTTTATATTCACCCGAGGACATTTTTCTATTTTTTTGTTCAGATAGAGTGGAAGGGAGAGAGAGGAAGAGAAAGAGAGAGAGAGAAACATCAATGTGAAAGGGACACATCGAGTGGCTGCCACCTGCACGACCAACCAGGGCCGGGGACAAACTGCAACCAAGGTACGTGCCTTCAGTGGGAACCGAACCCGGGTCTCTCTGGACCGCAGGCCGACGCTCTAACCGCTGAGCCAAACTGGCCAGGGCTCATGACATTTTATTGATTAAAAATTTACCTAATATCCTTCATTTGCAGACAAACAATATGGTTGATACTGGCATCTTGAGAGCTGTGTTGCAAGATTTACGATTTCCCAAAAGTCTTCAATGATGTGTGCTTTGAATTACAGGAATCCAGACCCACTAGGATTTCTGAAGTCAATCAACAGGGTAAGTCAGCCTTATAGTCTATTACATCTTAGAAATTAAAAGGGATTTTCACCTGCTCAATCCAAATCAAACACTTCAAAACAATACATCTACTAGCAACTTAGTTTTTGACATAAAAATGTTCCAAAGACAGCAACAGAAATTCCTTTGCCCATCCCCTGGAATCATATAATAGTATAGGTACTAAGCTACCAAGCACTTTCCAATGCTTTATATAAATTGTTCTACTAATTTTAAAGATGGTCTGGTTACAAACATTCTTATCAGGCACTTTTCACATCATTTTTGGTTTTTTAACATGCCCATTTTTCAAAACTGTCTTGCTGAACAGTCAGCTGTAGAATTCCTGGAGTTGTACCTCTGCCTCATCCTTTAAAAAAACAGTTCCCGTACATGGAGATTTCCTTTAATTTTGAAGGCCAAACTTACATCTACCAAAACAGGAGTTATTAGGGGGAAAAAACAACTCATGACTTCACATGAGATATAACCAGTCTGATCAGACAACTTGACAAAATATATATTGTCACACTGACAATCTTAGAGCAACAAAGAAATACACACACACAACCAAGAAATAACAAAACCATATTTTAACTTACTGCAACCTAGACATTGTTCCCTTCATAAAGCCTTCAGAATCTGAGACACTGGGGCTCTGTCAGGAACAAGGATGAAAGACCCTGGGCACTTTCAAAAAAAGCAAAGCCTTATTTCCAGATTCACTGGTCACATGAGAAAACTCTTACATATTAATCTGTGGACAAAGTAATGCTAATACTAGGAGGCCTCTGCTGACCGGATTGATGCTTCACTGGAAGTTCAGTCCTTTCAGAAACGTAAATAAGTTTTTCCTCTTGGAGACTACAAGCGGAAAACCTATTGGCATCTGTCCCAGTCCCACAGCCAACAACAGATGATGGGTTATGTGGGACTGTCACACCACTGACTTGTTCAAAAGATTTACTAAATACAGTCGCAGCAGTCTTAGCCAAACCATGGCTATTAGGTTTAGGCAGGGACTGGCTGGTTGTTAACGTAAGTCTCTTCAAAGAGAGAAGCTCAAGATTCTCACTTTGAGCTCTCTGAGTTTGTTTTCGAGCAAAGTGATCTTTACAAGACTCCCCCGTAGTTTCTTTCTCTTTTCCTCCAGTTTTGCTTCCTCCTGAACGTCTCTGAGTCTTTCCTACACTTGTCTTGTTACCAGAATTGTGACTATTGTTTGATAAGCCTGACTGGCTGGTACTAGATGCAGCCCTGGAATAAAATCCCTCGTCAACTTCAGATATGTCCATCAGTTCTTCTTGATCTGTTAATTCTGTATTTCCTAAACAAAGAAATAACAAAGATTAATTAACATTAAGTATTTTTAGTAATTCTTTTTTCATGATTAATACCAAATTATACTTTAAATAAATTAAACTTTAGCATAATTAGATAAAGCAACAGATTATAGACCAAAATCAAAGAATAAATCAAATCATTCTATAAAAATGCTAAAAACAGTCCATTGTAATTAAATAACAGTAATTTAGAGCATATTAAACAAAAAGCATGCCATAAACCACGCCCCACCGTGTTTTCAGAAAGAGATTTCTTACTGACCATGCAAAAGATCAGAAACAATTAGGAAAAATACCACACAATGAAATTAGGGGCAAGCTCTCCTCTAGTAACAAAGCAGTAAAAAATCAAAGCTCTTACCAAGAAACTTTAAAAAATATTTTCAGAAATATTTTAAGGTTGTATGCTATAGTCTAGATTATTTTATAAAGATAAAAATAGACTATTATCACAAGCTCAAACTTAAAAGTTTTATATACATTATCCTTCATATCAAAGACGAAAGAACTTCTGATCTCAAAAGATAAGCAATTATTTTGGAAGCAAGTTTCTGCCTCCATTTTTGTAACAATTTACTCAAGAGACAATATAGGTATGACCATTCCAAAGAGAATTAAGAGTCATTAAGAGAAATTATGGTGCATAATTCATGCATTTTGATTATTAGATGACATGCAAAATTTTTGTGACTGTGTGACTGTTGCTTAAAACATGCAGCAGTGGCCCTTTTCCATGAGATACCTTGGAGTGCAGCTATAAAGTGCTGTGCTAAAACTGCACTCTGCCAGGTGAGTTTATTCCATCCTCCATCATTTTTCTTACAGATTTTTGCCTCCTGATCTCTGGCAAGCCTTTGCTTTCAGTTCTAGGATCTGAAACAGGGTGTGTTTCCTGCACGCCCTGTATATGCTGAGCATCAATCTCTCCTAGTGTTCTGCCTTTTTCCCCATTCCCGGTTCTCTCTCCGGCCACATTTGTGACACTAATTTCAGGAATGACAAGGATGCCCAATTCAGTAGTATCATTATTGTTGTCAGGTTGCTCTAGAATTGAAGATGATAAGACAAAATGATGGCTGAAAACAAAACAAAATAAAAATGCAAAACAAAAAAAAAACAAAAGATCCAAAACAAAAACTGGACAACTGAATGTTATAAATTAAGTCAAATATTTGCACTGCAGAAATTTCCATAATTTACAGTACTGACGGCACTGGAGACAATAGGATAATATTCTTGCATTTTAAATGACAACAAAAAATCACAGAGCATCAATTTATGTTCTGCATTTTTTCACACACATATTTGACACAGACTATGAAACAAATATTTTTTCATAAATCAAAATAGGATTTCTATTGTTTTAAGATAATAGTGTGACCATCTGAACTTATTTATAAAGCCTTAGGCAAATGTTCAAGGATATACACCCACAACTTTAGCTTTTGTCAACAAAAGGAATCAAGCTACTTAGGAATTCACCTTTGTACACTTAAAATTCTATTTTTTGTTAGATTACATTGAGGCTTAGTAAATCACAATATTGGAAATATGCTCATTCACTTATGATATAATGGTTCATAATGCTATAGGTATGGTTTTTGTCTCACATATCAATCTTGTATATTAGTAAATATTAATGCAGCTCTGATATAATTAAACAGCCTTCTCCTTCAGATTCATACTAATTCATAAGTTTAGGCAATCTTATAACAGTTCCTTACTAAGCTGGAGAAAAAATAAAAATGGATTTGGAGAAACAAATTGTGTTTTGGTCCTTTATTCTGAAAATGGCCACTGTAATCAAAACAAAGGAATGACCATTCTAACTCGTTAATACTTGTAGACATTTTATTCTTTTTGTCTTAAGTCACAAAGTCATGATTTTATTTAAAGTAGTTGAGGAAATATCTGTAAGAAATGGGAAAAAAATAACATGAATATATCTACCATGGGCCAGTAATGAAAGTCAAAGTTCAAAACAATAGAGTATGTACAACATTTTATACTCTTTAAAAAATGTAGACCACAAATCTGCTTGAGGGACATCACATATTACTTTATAATGTTTTTCATGATAAGATTATAATTCTCTCACTAATAGTGCTAAAGAATGTGAAACAGTAACAGGTAGTAAAGAAATGGAGGCCAGAGCCACATATTCCCAAATTTTGGATCCCAACATTGGTATCAGTTGGGGATCTTTAAGAACTACTAATGTTCGGCTCTCACACTAGACATTCTGATTTTAATTATTCTGAGGTATAATCTGGACACTGGGATTTTTATTTATTTATTTATAATCCTCACCTAAGGATATTTTTCCATTTACCTTCAGATAGACTGGGAGGGAGGGAGAGAGGAAAAGAGAGAGAGAGAAAGAGAAACACCGATGTGAGAGAGACACATCAACTGGTTGCCTCCCGCACCACCCTGACCAGGGCCGGGGACGAACCGCAACCCAGGTACATGCTCTTGGCCAGAATCAAACCCAAGACTCTGGTCCCTGGGCCGACGCTCAAACCATTGAGCCAAATCGGCCACGGCTGGGCACTGGGGTTTTTAAAAGCGTAACTAATGTGCAGCAAAGTTTGGGAACCATGGTTCTATTCGGATTCTTTCAAATTTTGAAAACTTAAAACAAAAGTTATTATGGATGCCCTGTGTATCCCATACCCAGCACAAAATGCACTTCTGGAGGTTTTAAACCTTCATGTTGCCCTGGGCTGGTTGGCCAATGTGGTGGTATAATGATTTCTCATTTACTTAATGCTTCAGAAAAATTTAACTGAAGGTTCTCTAAATCAAATTTTTATTTCCTAGACAGACCAAAGCATGTTGGTAAGATAGCATCACACTGCAGCTTCTGGGTGCCCTTATAATACAGGTTTAATGAGACTAAAAAGTTCCAACCAATATATTCCATTGCTAACAGTTGTCTTCAAAGTGAGGGCAAATAAAATCTTAGTGAGGTAAATGCCAGAAGCCACTGCAACAGAGTAAATTCGCCATGGCACTGCTGGGTGACAACCAAGACTTGTCCATTTACACTGTAGAAGTAATTTCACAGAAGATCTATAAAAGGGACCATAAGTCCAAAAAATTATCAACTGTGAAAATTATCCAGACATAACAAAGCCATTGAATATTAATACAACAAAATTTTAAAAGATAAGCACAGGTATCCTAAGAGAATAGAAAATACTACTACTTACAGTGAATGGCACTAAATAGTGTTTTTGAAAGTGTTCCTATAATATTATTTCATTCCCGAAACAATGTGTGATAGTGAGCCTCTGAGGTAGGCAATTCGATTCCCATTTATAGACAAGGAAACTGAAGTTCAGTAAAAGCCACACAACTATTCATTGGGGAACTAAACAAAATCTTTTTACTTCAAATGTCCATTCTAACATACTATAAATTCTAACTCTTCAATTCATTAAAATCAGTTCGAGTTAAATGTCCTCTGACATCCTTCAATTCGGTTTAACTTATTTGCTGGAGTCCTAGTCATTTCAAAGAAAGCAAATAATTTACTTTGGCTAAACAGAAGGAAGAGTAAATAAACGTCTCTAAGAAAACCTAAGTCATAATTCTCAAGGTTAGTTTTTCTTTAATTGTATTTATTTTTTAAAAGATGCTAATAAAATTATTTGTTTAAAATGGTGCAAATTTAAAATTATGCAAGCAAATTATAAAATGACAAGAATAGTCCAGCCGGTGTGGCCCTGTGGTTGAGCGTCGACCCACGTGCCAAGAGGTCGCCAGTTCAATTCCTGGTCAGGGCACATGCCCAGGTTGTGGGCCTGATCCCCAGTGTGGGGCATGCAGGAGGCGGCCAATTGATGTCCTCTCTCATCGATGTTTCTCTCTCTCTCTCTCCCCCTCTTACCTCCTCTCTCTCTAAAGTCAATAAAGGAAAAAAAATAATAAAATGACAAGAATAATAATATAAAGCAGCACTAGGCAACTGGATTGCTAACCACATTTACTGTGATAGTGATGAAGATCTGCAGACCAAGAAGCCATGATACTAAATTTTAAAACATGAAATTAGATGGCAAGTAGAAAAAATAAGACCATGTGTTTTTTTTCTACAAGCATAAATTTTTGCGTGTTATCAGTCCAAAAGGGTAAAAATGGCAAAAATTTTAACTGCTCATTAAATTCATTTTTAAAAAGCAGGAAATTCTGTACAGAGCTAGAAAGAACAGAAATATAATGCTCAGGAAAATTACAGAATAAAGAAAAACAATTCCAATAAACATTTGTTACATGATCTTGCTCTCCATTATTTCTCCAATATCTTCTATCCCCTATATAGCTCTGTGACCCAATCCCCCTACACATACCTTCTTCTTACTGGTATTACTGTTCGCCAGGCCTGGAATGCTCTTCCCAATATAGCTACATGACTCATCTCCTTACTTTTCTTTTGGGTTTTTTCTCAAAAATTTCCTCTCAGTGAACCCTCCCTGATCATCCCATCAATATTCCCCATATTTTATATACCATCCTCCCTAATTTGTTGTTTATTCTTAGCACTTAATCACTCTCTAACCGACAAGTATTTATCTTGTCTACTAGATGTAAGTTCCATGAGGGCAGAGATTTTTGTCTGTTCAATACTGTATACCTAGTACCTAGGAAAGTAGTTTCCATATAATAGGTACCCAATAAATATTTGTTTGATAAAATGAATTTCCTGTTATGAGGTAAAATTATTATTAGAATAAATAAAAAATGTAGAAGACATGAGAAAGGTAGGCTAGGAATGTGTTACTTAAATTTAAAAAAGGAAAAATAATATACAGTTTATGCTAATAAGAATTTTTTAAAAATCCTCACCTGAGAATATTTTTCCTTTTCAAAGAGAGTGGGAGGGAGGAGAGAGAGAGAGAGAGAGAGAGAGAGAGAGAGAGAAACATCAACGTGAGAGAGACGTATCAATTGGCTGCCTCCCGCACAACCCCAACCAGGG